TGAATTTAGTGAGTGGAAGCAGTTTATTGCACCATAGGCGAGTACTAGAGCTGGTGCACTCTTAAGACTTGATCTCTAGTCCTCCCTGTAGGCTAGAGCCAGAGCCAGAGGAGTTGCCCTTCTGTTCAGTTTACCTTCTCCGACAAAATATTGCTGCCTTTGCATGCCTGGAGCCTGTTTGCATTGCTTTCCCTGCAGATACTTGGGAATGTAAACTTTTTCACTCACAAAGAGGAATTGAGAAAGTATTTCATTATTGCTTCAGAAACAGGAGCTTTAGTGTGCCTCGTTAGTGGAAACGGTGTAGAAAATTGCGTCTTGGATAAAGGATGGATGAGTACTTCCAGCAGAGCACTGAAAATATTTTAAAATCTCGCCAAGGCTGTCAAGTTAATGTTGTTAAGAGCAGTAAATTAACAGGGTTTTACACAAACTTCAAATTCCCACAGAAAACAAAAGTGAACTGATGTTTTGTAAATCTTAAATCATTTGAGTAATGAATGAGTAATTTTTTTTTCCCAGTTTTTAAAGATTTCACTGAAGTTGAATCCATGTTTTTCCCCTCGGGTGACAGTACCTCTCTCTTACCTGAAGTAGTCCTACTTCCTTTCCACTTATAACTGTAACAGTGTCATCTGTAGTAGACAGTATGGTCTCCACTAAAAGAAAGCACTTTAAAGTTTGCATTAATTAGTTTTTCAGCATAACCCTCAAGTATTGTTATAAATGTGGAAGTAGTCTGTGTTCCTACTGAAAAATGCAGTTCTAGGAAGCCTGTTTCCTGTAGCTTGGTGTGACAGATGACTTCCTTTCTTCACAGCAACTAAGTATACTCTTTCTTCTTTTATTCATAGGCATTCAACACTTTTATTGATGATATATTTGCTTTTATCATCACTATGCCAACGTCTCATAGGCTGGCGTGCTTTAGAGATGATGTTGTGTTCCTGGTCTATCTTTACCAAAGATGGTATGTGTGCCTTTCTGTAACATTCCTCAGGGATTTTACAGGGCTGTGGATGGGTGCAGTCGTGTCCCTGTAAAGAACTATAAAATAGTCTGGGACAGAGTTCAAGCGGAATTCTTAGACCATGGTAATACATTGTATGGCCTGGGGGATGGTGGTTGTGTAAGTGCCCAGTGAAGGGACTGGTGAGCAGGGGGCCCTGAAAAGAGGATCTCAGTACAGATAAGAGGAGCAAAGGCGCTTTCCCATAACTGACAGTATTTTCAGCTGAATGACCCATAAACGTGACCCTTTTTAGCGTGCCAAGGGAGCGGTCAAATTCCTCTTCTCCCAGCGCTGACAGAATTTTTGTCAGTTACCCCTTCTCCCTCCCCAAACCACCAGTCCTCCTCTTCAGCGGGTTGTTGCACGTTTGCAAGCTACAAAAAAAATTAACCTGAAGTAAGGTGAAGGAGAGCAACTCTTAAGCTTGTATTCACAAACCCACTTAGGAGTTCTGATAGGGGCTGGGCGCTGGTTTTGAGTTTGAGAGGTACCCTGGATTTCTTGAGAAGTACTCCAGCCAAGCTTTAGGGGAGCGAATACATCTCTCAGGAGGCCCTGTTACGAGACAGCTGGTTGAGCCTTAATGTGAAGTAGCTGATCTTTAAAACCGCTGTATTTTTTGCCACAAATGGGAATAGAGAATATGATGAGAGACAAATTCCCTTTTAAAATTAAGTAGCACAGAACTGCTTCATTCCTCCAGGTAGCAGACAATATTGTAACTGATCTTTTTTTTTTTTTTTTTTTTTTTCCCTGCCAGGCTTTATCCTGTGGATAAGAGCAGAGTGAATGAATATGGAGAATCTTATGAAGAAAAGCCCCCAAAAAAGGCTCATAGAGAATGACTAAGAATTGAAGAAGTTCTGACCCCTGGACTCTTAACTGGCTTCATGTATTATCTGGTCTTAAGAAAGGAAAAACTTATTTAATAAGAGTATTTTTAAAGCTTGTGACAGATCTACATGGACAATACATCTTCTATATTGCCAAAATCTAGTTTTGATATCCTCCTCTTTCAAGACCCTCTTTTTGTCCTCACAAGGTCCACAGTCTGCCAGATGTCATTGAACAAACTTCCTGCGTCTAAACTTCTCTTCGAGTGTCCTGACCACTGTAATTAACATCCAAATCTGTGTTTTTAAGACAACTCACTAACTGAAAGCGTGGTGCCTGTGTCACCAGGCTACGAGAAGTGAAAAAACAGGCCAGTGTGTTACAGCAGAATGGAGCATTATTGTCACACTGGAGGCTGTCAAAAGTAAAATGTGTAATATTGGGTTATATGCTAATTACAAATCATTCTCGTCTGATAATGGAGATAATGGAAAGTCTAGAAATTGTGATTGAAGCTGTAAGTTGTATGTGGGCATTTAAGTTCATAGCTTAAAAAAAAAATGTGTTGGAAACGTAGGGTGAGACAGATAGGGTTGTTAAAATTCAAATTCTGCCACATTCTTAGCCCACAACATGGCAGAGGGTTTCAGTTGTCTTAAACTGAATGAAGATGTGAAAAACCTGTGACATGGTTTCTTTCAATATGTGTCCCAAGTTTGTATAAATCCTTCTGCATTGTTGACAAACCTTCTGATTTCTTGGCAGAGCAGGTTTTCATATAAAGCAAATCATTGTTACGTGCTGGGAAAGTCTCTTAACACATCTTAAATTCTTAATCATGTGACATCCTAGGCCAATTCTGTCGTGTTTCAAAGGGAATAATTCCTTGGTCTTTCCCCTCTCCTTCCCCGCCCTGGTCTGTTTATAAGATGAAACACGTGTCATTCAAGTGGAATGATTTTGCTCAAATGCAATACAGGTTCGACACACCACCTGGATACAGAGGAAAAAAACCCAGCCTGGTGAAGAACAGGCATCTTACTTTTGTACAATTTAAAATCTGTATTCCATGGGAACAGTTCATTAAGGGAAGTACTTTGATCTGTTTCTTTCAAATTAGTAAAAATGATCAGGTTGAATTATCATACCAAAATTCAAACTTCACAGCTATGTCTACAAACCATGGTTCTAGATTTTTAAAAGGAAGTTTCTTAGTAAGTGAAATACAGAGTGCATTCCTTTCAGCAGCAAATAAAATGCAATGAAAAAAAAAATCTAAAAGGCAGAATTCTAGTTTCGCTTTGGTCGGTAAGTTTACAAATTAACCCTAATGATTTTTAAGTTTCTTTATGGCTGTTTGTGCAAGGCTGTATAGCTTCAATTTGTCATTGACTGAAAATATTAACTGAAAAACCTTGAAGAACACAGACCTACTGCTATAGTCTGTAATTACTTTGTGAAGTGAATTTTAATCCAGTTCTGATACTGCAGAAGTGTGAACGTCTAAATACTTGGGTCCCAAAAGGATACAGAACTGTGCCTAACTTCTTTTGTCACAGGCTGTAGTCTTTATTATACTGAAGTCCTCCTTACATGCTGCTGGCAATGGAAAGGCGTCCTGAAGTGAATATTTAACTCATGTTCATGTTAAGGTATCTTTACACTGTTAGTTGTAACTAAGGAGTACTGTTGATTTTACCACTAAACACACGTAAATAAGTCTATGCAAAACTGGGGTTGCATTTGCTGTGTCTTGTACCTGTTCTGGATTTGTCTGGAAGGAGCTCTCTGCTGTTAAGCAAACTAATTTGGGACTCTTATTTCACAATAATAGTTAAATGTAAGAGTTAAAATTTTTCCTGATATAAATAATGCACCTAGCACACTTCCTTTTCGTGCCATTTCAAAACAGTCAAGTCATTGGTTCTTCTAGAGTAGCATCTGAAAGTCCAGAATACCTTATACAGGTATTTCTAATGTTTCACCACTCATTTTTATACATGGCTGTTGAAAAATCACTCTTGCACCTTTACATATTGTAAGTTTATTGGTCTTCTGTCTTGAATTTCTTATGACAATGGCCTCATAATATCCTATACAGTAGTCATAAAGAATAAAAAAATTAGAATATTTTAAGTCTTTAAAATGAGTGAGACTTTCCTGTTCGAGTCATTGGTTTATGCATTCCATTTCCAAATAAAAGACTTGGCAAACGGGACAGAGTTACCTGTTGTTGTTGGAAAGAAAGGTGGTGAAAAACTATGTAAGTAGTGTAACTTTGGAGATGTTAAATGAAATGTTTTAACTTTCTATTGTGGAAATGACATCAGCTTCTGGGTGCGGTTAATGCAGAAGAAAAACGTCTTACGTGTAAAACTTCACCGAATGTACTGCAGCTCCTGCTGGATTACGGGTATCTGACCTATGTAAGAGTTCACGAGTAACTTAACCCTGCTAGAAGCAAGGAAGTTGTTAACTGTGGTAAGCAACTAGGTGACCATCTCACCTTCTCGTCTTCGTTAGGCTTGTAGTGGCTTTGGAAGTTAACGGATGGCAGTGATCTGTGGTGAGGGGTGGGGCTGTTTCGGAGGTAACAGGGAAAAGGATCCTGTGCTTCTGGAAGAGGGTTTGGCACGGTACCGATGAGCGCGCAGTAAGGTAGCAGTCCCCAAGGGGGGCTCCAAGGGCAGGGGTGCAAAAGGCACCTGACAACACTTTCCGTGGGTGTCCACAACCCGTGGCTCGGTCCCTCTCGGCTGTGTTACGGAGACCCCGCTGTACTCCCGCGCGGTCCTTCCAGCTCCGTCCCGTGCGATTTCCTGCTCGTCTTCCCCTGCCGCTGCCTGTTCTCAGAGAGGTGACCTCCTGCCCTTATAGCTGTTGTCCCGGGAGCCCCAGGGCTAGCTGCGTTGCCCAACGGGCAGCAGCACAGACAGTTCTGTCAGCAGGGCTCAAGAACTCTGCTCTGCTGCTGTTGCTGCTCAGCACGTCTGTATTCCCTTCTAATTCGGCACTACGCTCCAGTAATTGCCAGCCACAGCATCCACAGCTTGGCACCAGAAGCGTTAACACAGATAGTTCTGTAGTTTGTCTGCAAGCATCACGTTTTCCAGTTTTTCCATGAAAACTTCACGTTGAAGAAGTGAAACATGATAATTTGTTAGTAATGCTGGTTGTCTTCACATTGCAGCTTTCAGTATCATCAGATCCAAACCAGTGCAGGTGGGAAGGGACCTCAGGAGGCTCGCCAGTACCAGCACAGTGCGTTCCCTTACAGACTAATCCTGCTTTTCTGATAATCCTGTGTAAAAACCCTCTGAGTGAACAGATTTAGCTATAGGAGTTGAGAAATAAAGCCAGAAAGAGCCCAGCTTTCCCAGATGCCCAATGGCAATCTCTGACTGCTTCCTCTCTTACACTAGGAGAGGTTTGGTCCTGTATCTGTGAGGATCCATGTACTTTTCTTTTCCAGTGGCTGCAGACATACTTACGAATTTCCTCTTGGTACAGAGGGTAAAACTGTGATGTCTCCCACGTTTTCTTTCATCCCGAGGTTTGGTCCTGTATCTGTGAGGATCCATGCACTTTTCTTTTCCAGTGGCTGCAAACATACTTACGAATTTCCTCTTGGTACGGAGGGTAAAACTGTGATGTCTCCCACGTTTCCTTTCATCCATCTGTCTCAAATACCACTGCTCCTTCTTAAGGATATCTGGAGCTAATCAGTTTGCTCCAGCTTTTCCCTTATGCAATTTTATTTCTTACTGCTACTTTTAATCACCAAAAATCCTGTGTTGGCTTTTTTTTTTTTTTTCCTCCT